GAGCGCAGGAGATGCAGATAACATGATCTTGACCCTTAAGAAACTTTAATTAATGCTGTCACGTAACAAATCTGTTCAAATATAAAATAAAATGAATTGCTAATTACTACATTGAAATAAAAATGTAAAGCCTGTACAAATATTACAAATCGTGAATATAAATAATTGGGAAACATGTAAAAAAATAAATTAATAAAATAAAAACAGTGCACATTTCATTTATCTATTATAACATTTATGTAGTTGTGTTCGCTTGGCTGTTTTCTTATAAAAGTCCAAAAATTTGTCAAGTTTTTCGTCAGGTGTCTTTTTTAATTATATGATGCCATTATGTTGCTGTCTTGCCGCCAGCCAATCGCTGCATTGCTGATTGTGGTTTCGAGTATCGATACATAGCCCCTTTTAAACCAACCCATGAATGCGCAATTATCTCAGATAACTCAATCTAGCCATACTAATCATCAACAACAGGTGCGTTCGAAGAACCGAATTGGCCAGATCCTGATTAGCGCGATGATATCATCTAGGATGTGACATTTCATCTTGGATGTAATAAGTGACGTACGAAGAATGGGCCCCTGCTCTGAGAGAAAACGTAAATAAACATTTCCTAGTTTTATTTGAGAAAAACCATTGTCAAATACACTCTGAAACTCAAAGGTCCGCTACAACCTGTCAAAATAAAGGTTCGATTTAAATGATTGAAATTATGAGAGAAATATATTAGCATTGTACAATGTACTTCAAAGTTATAATAACAACAACAATAATAATATTCTTTATAATAAAATAATTTATTTAATCATTGTTTTCAAGGAATATCATGTTTGTCCATGTTTTAACTTTGCCAAAAATAACTAACCCTAACGTTGTAAATTTTCATTTAAAAACATTTTAAAACATTAATTAAAATGTTAAAGTGTGATATAGATATACATAAGGTGTACAACTTTATTTATTTATTTATTTATTTCAGAAGGGAGACTTTCATTAAAATGGTTTCAAGTTTGTTGTAATAAAGGATTTGTTCACTCAAATAACTTGTTCTTGTTCTTTTAAGAGTCATTGTTACTGATAAGAATTATAGTTTAATATCTACCGTGATAACCGTGAAATCCGTGATATTTTCTGAGACGATTATCATACCGTGAAAATCTCATACCGTTACAAACCTAGTCTATACACAAGTTTTGCAGAAAGGAAGATTATCCATAAATAACAACTTAAATTTCATATAGAAATATGTTTCTCTCATTTATAACACTTTTTTTTAATTTGGTCACTATTGACAACTTTTGCAATGAAAGAGCTACAAGATCTTCAAAACCATCTTTGCATTCCACAGGAAAAATAACAGCATGCATGTTTGGAAAGACATGAGGGTGAGTAAATAAAGACAGAATTTTCATTTTTGGGAGAACTATTCCATCCACGTCCAGTTTCTTCTTGCCTCCGAAGGCTGCGTACCAGCCGTGCAATGAATACATCTGCTGAGACTGTTCTCTTTGAAGGACCAACTCTAAAATGTTTAGACTGCGACATCACCATCTTCCATGTTTTTTAACCAGCTTTGTTTCCAACCCCCCAGTGACAACTCTTTCTTGACCCGGGACGCAGCGGGGGGAAGCCCAGATATTTACGAGACGGAGCAGAGTGTAATTTCCTGCCAGCCTCCACTAGTTCCGCTGAAAAAAACAGGAGAACGGAAGAACATTTCTCCTGGGAGACAACAGCCAGGCCGACTGAATGACTCTGACTCTTAAAGGAACAACACCACACGATCATTCATCTGTCCACACAGAAACACGCAAACAATGGTTCTATGTCATCAAGCATGCTTCATTAGGACAAATCTACATATAATTTATTAGCAGGAAGACAATAAACCACAACAGCTCAAAGGTCCACAGTCACATATCGCACCTAAGCAAGGTGTTATGATGAACTTATAAAGAGTAAAAAAAAAAAAAAAATGCAGTTACTGGGTATTTAGAGTAATGAATGGAACTGAGTTTACATTGGTCATAAAACAATTTAAGAAGAAAACTGTCATCCCTCTCAGAGACAACGCACACCAGCACAGAGCATGTTGCCATATTCATTTGCATAAAGCATGATAGAACCTGTTGTTTTGTACATGTTCTTGTTTTTACATTTAATCTTGCAAGATCTGTGCACGCTAATTCATAAAAGCTACACTCAAACAGAAGGAGGATACGAGAGTCACATTCATACTAAATACATTAGCTACATACACAGTTCTTTTATTTAAGTGACTGATGCACACAAAATTGACTCTCCATTTTCAGGGCTCACAACCGAAATAAGAGCAAGTTCATGTCATTGCATCACTGACATGCATAGCATGAGGCATGCGCATCACAAGACTTTTGTGTTAACTGAGAGCCTCCATGTCAGCATATACAACTGTCAATTTCAAATGCTAAAGAAGAAGCAATAAGTATATGGTTTATTGTTCACACTCTTCCTGTAACTCCTCCTGCAAATTAATTATTGTACCAACTTGTTGAAATTAAAAAACACCATCAGTAACATAAGATATAAGGTCCAGGTCAACCACTTTAGAAGTATTCAAACTACTGTTAGAAAGCATGGACAAGTTCTTGACAAACTTTGTGTACAGTCAAAGGGAAAGTGTGTGTACATTAAGTGAGTGAACAAGTAATGCCGAGGTGTTAATTATATTCTCAACATTTAATATTTGTATCACACGGAAGCATTAACATGTGTGAAGATTTATATAGTGTGAAAGTGAGTGTTTTTCAGAGAAAGTGTGTATGTACTGTCAGTGTTTATCTGGTTGTAGTTACAAGAGTCATTATGCCCACTTTCTACTATCCCAACTATGAGTACACCATCTGTAGTTCTCTTGAAAAGTGTAAATACTGTGGCTCTGTTTATTTGAGAAACATTGACTCCACCCAATGAGGTGTGTTTGGGACATGGCTACCTGTTTGGAAGACCAATGGTGGGCAAGTGTTTAGGAAAGCTGTTTGTAAACAGTCATTGTTTCATTAAAGGCGAAGTGTGTAATTTTTGCTGCACCAAACTGAATTTGGAGCCACTAAATAAAATTCTGCAATTCCATCTGGTACCACTAGTGGTGCTAAACTTGCAAATTTCACCTTTAAAAGAGAAACCAAAGGAAAGCCAGACAGAACATCTTCAAAAAGCAGTAGCATAGAGGGGAATGAGTGGACATGAAACGAATTACCAGCTTCAACAATAAATGAACAAACTGCAAACCCAGATATTACTCAAGCAGAATACAAAAGTGGGCCACCAGATTTAAAGATAACTGGCAGTTGATAATCACATATATGGCATACATAAAAAAAGGTCTGGTAAAAGTGCATATTAAAGATCAAATACAACAATCATCTCACCAAGTAGTCAGATCAGAAATGCTGCAGATGATGTCACAGCACTTAAAAGAAACTGTAACCGTTTTAAAGTAAACGATCAAACTTCAAAAGAACTTTACGTGTGATTTGAAATAATCAGATGGAAACTGGTTAAACCAATTAAAGCAGGACCATTTCAGTCAGGGTTTGATTCATCCGAACACTATCAGATGATACGGCACCACGGAACCCTTTCACTTCGGGAATGATAAGACAACAATCAGACAGAGCTAGTGACGAGCCTGCTCGACTTCATCTTCAAAATCAGCCTCCATGAGATTCTAACGCCCTCAGTGCGAGGTAATATAAGGGCCACAAACAACTAAGCCATTAAGTTTTTATCTCCTCTGGCTCTGGCTCAGGCCCTCCTCAGTAGTTTACCTACATCACTCAAACACCTCCAGCTTATCTGAAGCGCCTTCGCTTTGCGTGCCGCTGCCTCAGTAATCACCGGTAGCTACGTTCAGTAGCTCAGTAAGCTTCTTACGCCCTTCCCCTCCAGATTAACCGTTAGAGGCGGCAACAGACGTGCTCAGTTCAGATAAAAACACAGCACCTGTGTGGACAAATACTGCAGGCAGCCAACCACGAGCCGGCTTGCTGCACGCACACACACATGCTCACACACAATGCACAAAGTTGATTGTCCTAACAGAGGTGGGGGAGATATCACAGAGTGAGAATAAAGAGATATGAAAATCCATACATCAGCTAGTAATATTACTGATTAACTTCAGGATATGATCACAATCCGTGGCATTGCCATGTCACAGCAACAGAGCAAAAAAATCTGCAAAAATGCCCTCTAGAGAAATGAATCTTTCAACTTCTCCCAATTTCTTTCTGACCTTCACGGACACTGAACTAGTTTTGTCGTCTACATGATCGATGAAGCGTCCTGGAAAAGTGAAAATAAGGAGCGTGTGGCGCATTCACATCTGCTACAGACAATCTGTGACCTTACATTGCAACTCGGAGTCCAACAAACCAAAACAATCAATTCCAACCATTTCACATTTCCTTGTACTTGGTCTTTATTTACTTTCTGAGAAACAACCGTGACAGCACTAACAGCAAGTCACTGTCCTTCTTAACATCTCTAATGCAATTCAGAGAAAAATGCATCAAACCGTGTAATTCATCAGCAGTGGCATGTCACCCTCTGCTTAACTTTTCACTGAATAACCTTCCTTATGCTTTACATGCAGGACAATTTCAACATACGACAACAATGCACAAACTTGATCATCCCGTAAACAAAAAATTACAATTTTGTTATCATTTAGTCTCTATTGTTAGATGTTAGGCACAGTCTCAGTCACCATTGACTTTCACTAAATGGAAAAATTAAGCAATGAAAGTGAATGGTGACTGAGTCACTAACATCTCCTTTTGAAAGATAGAAAGTCACACAGATTTATAACAACATGAGGCTGATTAAATAACACAGATTTTTAATTTTTTGAGTAAACTATCCATTTCAAGTGACATATAAAAAAAAACATTGTCAGTATATTTAAAATACACATTCAACTCAAAATAAGTAACATGGACCAAGCTGAATTGCACACTTACCACAGGAGATGAAATTCTGCAGCCAGGGCAGTCACAGATTGGAGGATGTACTTGTAAGATTCCTTTGGACATAAGTGTCTTCAGACTTTTCCCTGAAAACATTTAAACAGTCGTTAACCTTTTAGATTCCATAAATTATATGCACACATGGAGTACAAAACAATCTAGCATTCAAATACAGAATTCATTTCACGTTAGCATCATGCAACAAAATCAGCTTTTAAAAGAGTCATTCAGAAATGGACCTGCATCTGATGACTCCAACTAAACTGTACCAAATGCATCCCTTCAGTGACTACTTTAACAACTCCTGCAGTCATCCACCCATCTGTCAAACTCATCCATGGGACAGTGTCACCGTGCAACAAAAGTGTCTTAAAAGGACATTCATTTTATTTATAGTAAGTGACCAAGAGTAATACCCAGAGTGCACATGTACAAAATTAGTCTTAACCAAAATGAACTGTTGTCCGAAAGAAGACTTGAAACCTCTGGAAATAAACTCAAGTAAACTGTATAAAATTCTTTAGATGAGCTGGTAAATCAGCACAAAGTTATTACTCATACAGTAACTTATCAAAATATGGCATTTCCCTCACTTTAAATCTTCGTAAACACAAGCTGCTTCATATGATAATGTGCCACTGTATCTTATCCTGATGTACTGCACTTTAAAAACAACTCAGTATAGACATGTACACCACTACCTGAACATTATATTAACTATAAATCGATTTTTAAAAGTGTATTGATTTATTAATAATAGCAACCTACTAAAGACGAAAACTTTCATTCGAATGCAGTCTTAAAATTAGTAAAGTAAAAATCAGTGGCAACCTGCAGAGATAGGTTTGTTGTACTTATCGACCGTTAACTGATCAAGAAAATCGAGTTAAAACTCTGAAAAGTCCTAAACTGAATAGAAATGACAAATTGTCGACACGAACTGAATGGATGGAAATAAAAATGTTATTAAGACAATGATAAAAACACGAACCAAAAACAATTTAGTAAGCAGATATCTCACTACAGAGTTACTACACATAATATAACGTCAAGTTTGGTGTTTTAGACCTCATTAAAGTGTACCGGTTGAAATCTTTGTAAACACAAATTGCTTAATCCATAACTGCTTGATAATGTTTCACGGTGTCATAATCCTGCTCTACTCCACTTCATTACAAAACCAACTTCAGGTAGAAGTGAAATTCAGCCAGAAAAGTTTTAAATTCAAGTAAAAATCTTTTTCTTTACTTTAATATATGTACAGTCCACATGCGTAAAAACTACTTTTCACCTTTTTTCACAACAGTGCGAATCCAAAGCCGTTCGACTCAAAGCACAGTGAGCTCTTGTCAATGCACTAAAGTCATTGCTCTTCAGCAACTCGTATTTTTATCCCTAAAAAGAGCAGTTCTATTAATTCACGAACACGACGGAGGCTAAATGAACCCTTATTTCAAAGGCAATATTCATTCGGCTGCACGCGGCACTGACTTACCTTTGTGCCTAATGCTCCGTTTCCAGTCTTTGGCTGTCTCTCTTCCACTCACGAACTGGAACTCGTTTGGGGTGAGCCACTCAGCCCGGTATTTGATGGAGGGCCCTTTGCTGCCCTGGCACAGTTTGTTAATGTACAGTAGTGCTTTGTTTTCCCCGCATTCCACTTCAATACAAGGCTCCCCGTTGTCAAAAAACGGCTGAAAGTCCGGGATAGACGAGAAGCTCTCCAGCATGAAGTTGTCCGAGTGGTGGTGAAGGTGCTGCTGATGCAGCGCGGCGTCGCGAAAGCCCAAGTACGCGCGCTGGTGATGGGCGAAAATGTGATCGTACGGCGGCGGATGAGGGGTCACCACGGGGATAGCGGTGGCATTTAAAGGGGCCAGGTATTCGGGTTGGTTGAAGGCGGCTAATGCCATGGCTTCTCCATCCAGTCTCTCCTTTTTGATGGCAGGCATGTTACCCGAAGCGCAGCGCCGGTAACGAGTGATTAGCAGTTCATGCGTCCCAACTTGTGTCCCTCTTCGCGGAGTTCCAGTCGCACCGGTGTGTTTACGCACGACTCCCGCGTCGCTGGCTGACAGCAGAGCGCTTACGTTCAGCCATTCACCACTTCACTCTTCTCCTCAGTGCACTGCTCGCATGACGGGTCTCCCTGCGCTCCTGCCCACCACATCTAATCGGACTAATGCCTGACATCTCCGCCAGATATTAACGCTGAGCGTGCTTTAATGATTGTTTATCCCGCGTTTCCTTTAAAATAATCACTATGGCAACTTCTCTGTGTTTATTTCCTCCGTCAACTCCAGTGCTAAGTTTATTTCTCTCCAGAAAGTAATGAGGACTGCATAGGACTAAGATATTTTAACACATAATAAAGCGTGTGTATATTTAGTGTAGATCATGTAAAAGTTCAGTAGTACATGCACAGTGGGTAGTGAGCCAGACTGGCTGGGAGCATTTTTATATCTGACGAGGATAGAAATAATTATGCTATCTATGTGCGACTTTAGAATGCAAATGATGCCTGGCGCTAATGGGACTTTGGGGTCTCTCTCTCTCTCTCTCTCTCTCTCGCTCGTTCGTTCTTTTAACCCCTCATACGTCGCTGAAGTCACGCTTTAGTTCACAGACCCAGACCAAACAAGATTTGCACTCTCCGCCGCTTCTCAAACTTGGCCCATTTAAACAGCGGAGGCAGCGCGAGCGCGAGCGAACTCGAGGGGTCCGCGACGGACGAGGTTGCGTCACTGTTTCCAGTCACTGCAAAGAGTTCACTTCAAAGAAATCATTTGAGTTAGGCTTTATTTTCCATTCTCATACGGCTATGTGGTTACTTTTAGTCAGTTAAGGTGTTTTTTTAATCAAAATATTTGTTGACTATAAATATACAAGTTAGCACATTATGCAGAGAAATAACATGTAAATTTAATGTGGTAAATGTTACCTATGCAGTATTAAATAAATAACTTTTTTTTTCTTAAATAAATTTGTTTTGTTTTTTAAGAAATACACAATTTTAATACTTTTTCATATTTCTGTTGCTAGTTATGTATTTGGTTTACAGTATGTTGCACTACATGTTATTTTCTGTTTACTGCATGTATTTCAGTCTTCTTTGTTAGCTCATGTTGTGTTTGTCTGAATGACGCTTTGTTTTTTATTGGAAAAAATGGCAAGAAAGGTCCATTTTGATTCTTTAGTTTGATATAATTTTGCACTTACTGTCATCATGTGGCCTTGTTGTAAAATAATGGAGGCTGTGGTTGCCAGAACTTTACAGTAAAATGCATTCACAAGTTACAAAAGTAACAGGAGGGCTGTAAAATGTACTGATGGAACATTCACTGTATTTTCATTTTAATGTAAACTAAATAAACAGTGCCGTTGAAAGCTATTGAATGTTTTGGCAGCAATAACCTGTTAATAATCATTTTATAATTATAATGCAAATCCTCTATGGTCTCTCAAACATAATGAAAACATTTTGATGTTATGCAATATATATATAAAAAAATAAAAGGACAAATCTTACCGTTATGGGTAAACATATTAAACAACATTGCAAAAGCAATTATAAACCTACTTTATTTATTGTAAACAAATCAGATGAAACTGACTGTGCTATTTACATTCAACATCACCATTCCTTCAGACATTGTAAACCAGGCTTACTTTCCTTTTTTTTTTTTTGTTAATGGTTTTTATCCGCACTTTAACCTAATCGATATAAGATGTAGACTATATATAATCAAACACGATCAGATGATTCTCTAGATGTTGTTGAATACTGTACCAGAGGTAATGTAGCTAATGGTTTCATCATTTCAATATAATTTCTATATTTTTTAAACTGACTAAATATTTTTAAGGCAAAGATCATCATTATTGTTCCTTTTGTTGAATCTGCTCAGTCTCATAGACACCGTTTACTTTGCAGGCCTGTGAGTCTTAAACTTTCTATGCATCGTTTTAATCTAGGAATCAAAAACCGCCTCCACAAAGACATATCACAAAAAAACTGGAAACAACCTAAAGGTCAAAGGTTCTGAGAGACCTCAGGAGATCCCTGAAACCCCAAGTGTGATGATCCCCCGCGGGGATACCCTGCCCCCGCACCCCTACTCTCTTCTACATTATAATCACTGGTGAGTCATGAGGGACTCTATTTATGAAGGAGGGGTTCCCCTAAATTTGCAGATGACGACGTAGCGTTCAACCTACAGTTTGGTTCAGGACGGCTTCCCCTGAACTTTCAGCCCCCACATTATCGACAGTTCAGCAGAACAAGTCCTGTGGCATCCTCCTCTTGCTCATCAAAATGAAAGTGACACCCACTCACACGGAGCGTGAAATGGTTTCATATTTCACAACATGCATGTTGAAGAAATTTCTCTGCTTTTGTTATATAAAGTTTGGGTCACTTCCCTCTCACATACTCACAACTACATAGCCAAACTCAAAGTTGAATGAATGGATAAATAAATAAAAATATGTACATTCAAAAGTATTACATAGTACATAGTATGTACACAATTCTTAAGGTCACTGTCTACACTATAGTTATTTATATCTATAACACAGCAGGAGGGAGTTGTGTTCATCCATTTGATATTAAAATGTTGGTAACAAAGTTATTCAGTTTTTTTTTTTATTCGATTCTATTCTTTCTATTCGTCTTTGGTAGCTAAAGCTTTTCAGACTACAAACATCAAGTAAAATCTGAGGCCTTATTGTTGCTATCAGAATATAATTTAGATACTTTGCCAAATCATTTCACATGAAAAACAACATACATACAGTAGGCCAATATTTTAAAAAAGTATATGTATTATATGTTTGGTTCATTACCAAAAACCAAAATGAATTATGCACTTGTGAATATCTAAATGTTAACAAGTATTTATGGATTAAAAGCAGTATCACTTTCAGTAAAAATATGATTTCGTTTTCTGTAGGCCTTCCTATTATTACACAACTTCTTCAGTATAATACATGTCAATAACTTTGTTTTCTCCAGATTCACTCAGCGTAGGTCGCTGCCCACGGTCCTGTCGGATGTGGAGAACCCCCTTGCAATCGTCCCCGCCTCCGCGCCGTTGTTGGCAGCGGCCCCGGAGCCACAGCGCTGCCGGCGGGGGAGAGAGGTAATAAATAACCCGGGGAGAGGAGCGGAGACCGCCGGGCGGTGCACAGTCTGACCTGACAAATACTCACTGGAAAACCATCAGAGAGCGAGAGCCCACCCCTAATGCTTGGAGCCAGCCTTTCAGACATGAGCAGAAAAATATATAGGCCTGTCCATATTGGAAAAAAACGGCGTCTCTCTCCCCCATCAACATTAAAACAGTGAAAAATGCAGCGACAGTGATTAAAAGTGCAATTCTAATTAAAAGTGTTTTGCAAATGTACAAAAAAAAAAAAAAAAAAAAAAAAAACACTTTTGGGAAAAATTATGTAAATTCACATGTGATGAAGATTAAATGCATACAATATCAGTCTTCTAGAAAAAGCGATTTGACTATTCCACATGGAGAAGGTCACCCACTCGTGTATGCCACCATGTTTGCATCACACGACCAGCTTTGTCATGCAATTTGCACAGCTACAATAAAATAAATATGTATGTATGTATGCATGCATTTGTGAGACGTAAACATATGGAAACAAAAAGTGAAAAAATTTGCTGGTAAGCTACAGCAGGTACTAGATACATTTCATACATCCAGGTCAACAGGTGTCAGTATAAAGTTCAAAACAACTGGTACTATTAAGACAAATAAGACAACAAAACTTGTACATTTGTACAATAAATGCTATAATTTATTTTATTCAAATTATTTTGATATTTTAAAAATCCTTTTCATATTTTATTAGTTCACATTTTATAAAAAAATATTATATCATCATGGTTACTATAGTTAACTAAAACTTTAAAAAAAAACATTTAAAAAAATTGTTAGGCTACTTGACAAAAACATTAACTGAAATAAGTATTAAAAACTATTTCTTTCAGCTACAACAATTCTCATTTTAATTTAATAACTAGGTGTACTAAAATAACTAAAACTGAAAAACTATACAGACACATAAAAAACTAAAACTACTAAAAATGACAAAAACAACAAAATTACTAAAACTTTAATTAGAATTCAAATGAAAATTGAAAATATAAAAACAGAAACAAATATATATTTATTTATTTATTTACAAAAACTATATTAGCATTCCAATGATACTAAAATAACATTGTAATAATAAAAATAATATAATAAAGTTTTATGTCTGTCAAAATAAAATCTAGTATGTAGCCTGATGCTTTTCTTTCATCTGCATTTTCTACAGGTTCTCATAAAAGGAGGCTTCTATTAGACTTTAAATGGACTCTCCAGAGGGACTTTGGAGATCACAGTTGCCAGCTCATGCAGCGCCGGTAAAGTGATGCTGTGTAATGTAAAACCCTGAGCGTCTCCTGCTGTCGTCTCAGCGCCCTCCGCTGCTCTCTGGAGATTTAGAGGCCATGGAGGCAGTCTGTGATCCCAACCCGAACTACCACATGGGATTTATTTCCTAGCTGGACAGGTGGGCGGCCCGGGAGGATACTGATTTTAGCCCAGTGTCTGAAGTTGTCAACGCCATTAAAAGCAACCGAACCATACTTCCCTTGCCTTCCCTAAACGCTTTACTTCACTGTTCTTAAAGGGTTAGTTCACCCAAAAATGAAAATTAGCCCATGAATTACTCACCCTCAAGGCATCCTAGGTGTATATGACTTTCTTCCTTTAGACGAATCCAGTCGGAATTATATAAAAAAATTGTCTTTGATCTTTCAAGCTATTTAATGGCAGTCAGCGGGTGTTGCAGTGCATCAGTCCAAAAGCAGTGAAATAAAAGCGCATCCATCAATAATAATAAGTGCCTCACACGGCTCCGGGGGGTGAACAAAGGCCTCCTGCAGCGAATCGATGCATTTTTGTAAGAAAAATAACCATATTTAAAACGTAATAATCACTTTAATCTAGCTTGCGCTCACTGTTGTATACGGAAGCAGCTCCGGGCGGATGACGAAGGACGTCGGCGTTG